TCACGGCCGAATTGTCTCCTGCCTTGATGTTCCTTAACCACATTCCTAGATAGGTCGTCGTCGACTTTGGTATACTTCTCGATCGTCGCCATTAGTTCTTCTAGGTCTGTCGTTGGCCTCCTGGTGAGTGATTGGTAGAGAGGATTTTCCTTTAGCAACCTGATTTTGAAGGATGCAACTATAATTTTAGGATTACATCCTTCAACCTCATTCATTGTCTTCCAGTAGCGGTGATCATACTCTCGCAAAGTTTCATTATTTTTCTTCTTCAATGTCAGCAGGGCCCCCACATCTTTTAGTTGCTTATTGCTCGTAATGAACCGAGTCGTAAACTGCTCGGCCAATTGTGACCATCCATCTATTGATCCCTTCGGCAAGCTGTCGAACCACTTCATGGCTAACTCCCCGAGGTTGCTAGGGAAGATTGTGTAGAGCAGGGGTTCATTCCGTCGATGAATGGTCATTAGCTGTCTGAAATGTTTGATGTGGGAGGTTGGGTCGGTCTTTCCATCGTAAAGCTTGAAATTCGGGACGGTGAATTTACTTGGGATACGCCCCTTTTCAATCCACAAGGTAAAAGGAGATGACTCTGAGCCGTAACCATATTCTCCGGTCACCCTTCTGGCTAGGTTCCTAGCCGACCTTTGCTCTGGCCTCTTCAAGCAGTTGTTCAGTTCTTCGGTGATGTACTGCTTCCAGGAGTCCTCCTCCAGAACACGAGGTTTTTTTTGCTAGTACTTATCATCCTTGGCATTCTTGATTCTGTCATGTTTCTTTTCGGGACTTTCTCGTTGGCTGTCCCTCTTACGTTTCTCTTTTTTGGTCATCTCCTTCAGCTTGACTTTCAATTCTTCGTTCTCTTTTATCAGGTCTTTTTCCCTGGTATAAGATTTCTTGAATAATTTATCATGAGCATCAAGCCGGTCGTGCAGGGATTGAACCAACTTTACCAAGGAGTGGTTTTTCCCCTCGGCACAGAGGGATTTACCACGACCTTCACCCAACTGGTTTTGGTTCCTGGTTCGTTTGAAGCTTGCTAAGGATACATCGTCATCCTCGTGGGGCCCAAATGGGCTTTTGTTAATATGCAACCTAACGTTGCTATCAGATGAAAGTGATATTGGATCAGAATTACCCATGGCAAAACTGTCTACAAGTGATCCAATGACACTCCTTAGTCTTGACAGCGTAGCTTTTCGTTTCAAATGATGAAAATCTTCCTACAGACGGCGCCAAAATGTAAGGGGTAAAAATTTATGGGTACCTCCTACAAGAATAAAGATTGAACGTTTCTGATAAGAGTGAGTTTTGGACTTGATCTCCCAGTCTTTGCTTCCTGCAAAACGAACAAACTACCCAAGATCGAAGTGCTTCGATCGAAGGTACTCCGATGCTTAAGTCAGTAATGGAACTGAAACAATTGCAAGAAGACAAGGAAAGTTTAGCGTACTTTTCACCTTGGCTTCTTGTTCATTTTATAAACCCCTATTTGACTAGGGTTTCCATGATTTTCGTCTCAAAGTGGCACACCTTTCTTCCATTTAGCAATTCAGTTTGAGAAGCTGCTAAAATCTTTCTGGTAGTTCCCTTGGCCTAGAATCAAGCTCATTAGTTTATCTTGGATGCATAAGTTATAGACGAATCTTTATCTTTCCATCTACTATTTGAAACAACTCGGTCATTATGAGCGCCGAGCTCTTTCATTACTCCTTGACTCCTTGGACAGTCCAGTTTGGTAAGAGCCGAGCTCTTTCTCTGCTTGCTGAGCTTATTGACCAGTTCGGTTAGGCCTATTTGACTCAGTGACTCATGCCTCCCTCACGTACTTTGTCTTGTCATCCTCACGTGAGCTCATTTAATGTCATATCATGTGTAATAAAGGGAGCCACCCCCTTCAGATAGTTAGATATATTGGTGGTAGATAATGAGTAATTGAATATTCCCAATTTTCGGCATTATTTAGTGACCTTTTTTAAATTACTTCTTAAGATGAATCTTACGCTGTTAATATGTCGATGTTTATATACATGTGCTTTTATAAATGTACAAATATGCAATATCTATGTATTTGGATTACTAAATCATATGTATATAGACATACTAGTTGGTGTGTGGACCGCTTTAAATTATAATTTAGTATATTTTTATTTTTTGAGAAATGAGTGATGTAAATATAAACAATGATGTATACAAATGAAAAATGCTTGTGATAATCTTCTGATCAATGATCAAACAATGATAATTCCTTGATTTTTTTGTCTTAGAGATTTATTTTGATATTTACACTGCAAATAGAATGAGACCAAATTTGACCCAATATTGCCTAAAGAGACTATGTAAATTCTGCAAAACTACTCTTCACAATACAAATCAAAGAAAGTCAAACAACACATGGGTTTTCTTGTATATAGTTCCTAAACTTTGATATGTATATTTGTTGCTTCTTTATATATTGATTTAGTTGAGTACAAACGACGGTGATGAGGGAACACAAATCTTGAAAATTGTCTAAATGTCCAAATTTATTTGCCAGTCACATTATTTCCCAATTCTTTTATGAGGCAAGAAAAAACCAACAATAGAAGGTGGAGTTCAAAAATGCTCTTAATATTCAGAAATAAGAGAAAGGAGTTAACAAACTATATCTCTTGCAAGATAAGAAAAGATGCCCATGACCTACCAAAGAACACAAATGTCCACGGAAATTATGAATTCTAATCAAGAAAAGACACATACAACCCCTATATCACACAACAATATTCTTTAAAATTTTAAAATGTAAGCATCATGACATCTTGATTGATCTCTCTTCCCCTAATTGGATTCAAAAAAATGACCAACAGTGAGCATGCTATTGCTGCCCAAGATGATCTTTCGTCCCTTAAACAAATGGAAGTTTCTAATTTAAGGAATAGAGACATATTTGATCACATATTTTTGATCTCAATCATTTTAACTCTCTTGTCTTTTTGACACTTACAATTAGAAGAAACTTTTTTGACACATGCATATAAAAAACCAAAAGAACAACACGATAACTGATTATCACCTTATAAGAATAACTCAAATGAATAATCACAATAAAGGACACAAAGAACACATTAAAATTAGCAATGATCACAAGGAATACATTAACGATAACAACATCTTTAAAAGACACAACATACAACAAGATGAAAAATCACAAACGAATTGACCAAGAACATGAAAGATTATTCTTTGATCTGGCATAAGCCAAAAAGGCTTGTTTTTACAGTTAAAATGTAATAAATAAAACCCATGCACATTCCGGTGAATATAAATTAACATGAATTACATGATGCATTGGTCTCTTTAAGTGTGACTCTTGGCTTAATCCACACATTGTAAGAAATTCTTTTATGCCTAGCCGCTCTCCATGAGCTGGCTTCGTTTAGAATGAAGGCAATATAGTGAGTATATCTGACTATCTTTCTAATTCTCTATAACCTTGTACCATTGTAGCCTAAACATCAAAATTTGACCATATATGTACTTAGAGGAGAATAATTGAACAATTTAGAAGAGAACTAATATGTAATCCAGTAAACATTGAATAATAAGCATGATGATTCAAAATAATTTTAAAAGTAGTAGAGATTCATAACTTAGAAGAGAACTAATTTTGAAATTCATAAGTTCCATCATGTTCCTTCTGTGAAAAAGGGAAAAGAATCCAAAATAAGTTTTTGTAATCATGGGGTTGGGGAAAGGGGGAGGATGACTCACCAATTAATTGAATTTCCATATAAACTCGAATGATGAACATTCTTATGAAACCAAACATGTCTTCATAACATGTTAAAGACAATATTACTTTGACTCCTATGTTCCAATTAAAGTCAAAGATGTATCAAAAAAGTTAAGCAACCTGCATAAATCCATCTTTCAATGAAACACACTATTTTGTGGCAAAGGAAAATATGATGAAGATGCTGATGATGACACAATACTGGAGGTTCCTTTATATCTTGCAAGCTTTTGCAGTAGAGCATGTATTCTATCAATTGGGGTATACTACAATTCTCTCAATTCGCCATAAGAATTTATGCTTGTCCTAAATCGTGCAATTTTAGGAAAATTCATGAAAATTTATAACCATGTAATTTCAAGGACCGGGATTTCTTAAATGATTAAACAATTGGCAAATCATATTGACCTGATTCTTCTTCTACATCTATTGATGTTGTTCAATATAAATCCATATAAGAATTCATACAAACATATAATCAGACAAATAAAGGACTACGTCTAGTGAAGAAAGAAAATGCATTACCACAAACAAACTGTGTAGAACAGATACATAGTTTGAGCAGTGAGAAGACAATACCTATTCGCAGAGAGAGAGAGAGAGGCAGAGCGCGCTCGAAGCATTTGAATTGGTAAAGTATGATTTCATCTATGTATAGCTGTAAGTGGAACAAGCGGGATTAATTCTAGATCGAGTTTTTTTGGCACTTTTAATGTCAATTTCATTCTTTAACAATAATTATTGAAGTGATTATATTATCTCCACTAAAATATCAATTACCAACATAGTGATCCCATCATTTCATATTCCCAATGCTTTCATCCTTTTAAGTGGATGTGTGGTACTGCAAAAATGGCATTTTAATACTGTAACCGGATGCGTATGTAAATAACGTGAATCAAATAAATGGGATTCAAAGTAGGTCATAGGTGTGGGCACTCCCAAGTTTAGTTAGGTCATGAGTGGGCACTACCAAAATAACTTAAAAGATAAATATATTACATATAGTTAATAACGAAAAAAAAATCAGGGTGGCCCTGGCCCTTGACTGGCTCCTCCCTTGGTTTGAAAAAAGCTTTGCTGGATGGTTCCTTAATTTCTGTCCACTACATTTTCTCATGAACTCAAAGGTTGTAGTTGCATCTGTTATTGGTTTATTATGGTATTTATTGTTCTCATTTTTTTCCCTGTGCTTGTGGTCTCTAAACAAACAATTTCATGATGCATTTTGCAGTTTTGACATGGATTCCAAATTTAGAGTGGCTGGCATTCTTCTCCTATGCCTTTTGTTTCCTACAGTGTTTTGTGCCTCCAATGATGGACTGTTCAGAATTGGACTGAAAAAGAGAAAATTGGATCACATCAATAGGCTTCCTAGGCATGTAGACTCTATGGAACGGGAGTCATTGGGAGCTTCCAACAAAAATTATGGTCTTGATGGTAATGTAGACAATTCGGACACTGATATTATTGCACTAAAGAACTACATGGATGCTCAGTATTATGGTGAGATTGGTATTGGCACTCCCTCTCAAAAATTCACTGTGATCTTTGACACTGGAAGTTCGAATCTTTGGGTGCCCTCTGTAAAATGTTATTTCTCAGTAAGTTATTCAGGGATCTTTTGAAGTTCTTCAGTAAAGTTTTTCCATAGAGTTTTTTATAGCACTTATTATTTTGCATGTGGATGCAGGTTGCTTGCTATTTCCATTCCAAATATAAGTCAAGCGAGTCAAGTACTTACAAGAAGAATGGTGTGGTTCCATTTAGTGGTTTTTTTATTTCCTGATTATATTATAATTATCCATGTTTCTACCTCCTCCCCCCCCTCCCTCCTTTTCTCCCTTTTCCCTCAGCATTGGTTCCATTTTGGTGGTCCGAGTGATCATGTAAGCTTCTGGATGAATGAGTCTTGTATTTAGAGGAATGTGATTTGAGTTCCAAAGTAGTGTATATGCAGATAGGGAGAAAAAAATCATACTCTCAATTAAGCCAATCAAGCAGTTGAAACATCAACTTCTCATGTGAACAGAGAGCCTGGTATTACAATGGGCCTACCTATTGTGGACTGCTTATTACACTTTTTATCTATGATTCATGGCTATTGCACATTTATTAAGTTGACACTATTCTGTTGATTTGAGTAAACTCTCCATTTTTTACTTTTGTTATGACAACTCTGTGAAATTATAGTTTGAGTTTGTTTGCTAACTGAATCAATCATCTTTAGTAGGATATTATGAAATTACAGGCTTTCCTTTCATGCACTACAAGCAACTATAATATTGTTTGAGAAGGATTTGAGATTATGGAAATCTTTATGTATTAGATACTATATACACACACACACACATACAAAAACTTGGTTTTGTTTTTCTTCTGTTCTATTTAGGCTTTATCTATTGATTCTTGTAGATGCTGTCACTTGGCAGTAGGAGAGGAGTCCTGATAAGTAAAGAAAACTGAAGAGAGAATAGAAAATAACTGTAGGCAGCTACAGGACTTTGGTGACGAGCAGGGAATCATGATTACTATCACCTAGTTAGGACTTGGGAGTCATATAAAATGTTAGGCGTTTCAACGGCTATTTCGTGGATTTTCCTTTGTTTTTTTTTTGATAGTGTATGGGTAGACAGTTTGTGATTGCCTGCGGCTTCATCCTCAATGCAGGGAAATCTGCTGCAATTCATTATGGAAGTGGATCTGTCTTAGGTTTCTTCAGCCAGGACTATGTTAAACTTGGTGATCTTGTTGTTAAGAACCAGGTAAATCCTTATGAAATGAGCATTTTGTACATCCTCAACTGACTATTATAGTAAGATTTTTACTGTTCAAACACTTTTGGTCTGTAGGATTTTATAGAGGCAACCAAAGAGGGAAGCCTTGCGTTCGTCGCGGGAAAATTTGATGGCATTCTTGGTCTTGGATTTCAAGAGATCTCTATTGGAAATGCTGTTCCTGTTTGGTATGTTATTGGATCCCATCTGTTAGTATACATGCAACTGCTTGATGGAAAATTGATATGATCTTGACATTACCCCATTATGGTGTCTCAATCATTTTCATTGTTGATCTTCTTGAGAGACCTTTCACGTTGAGGTGTTGATTCATCTTTTTCTTCCATAAATGTACCTTCTGAATATTATTCTGTTATTGAGATTTTTGCAATATTTCTAGGTATAATATGCTCAATCAAGGTCTGGTTAGACAACCAGTTTTTTCGTTTTGGTTTAATCGCAATGCTGATGATGAAGAAGGGGGTGAAATTGTCTTTGGTGGGGTTGATTCTAGTCATTTCAAGGGTGAGCACACTTATGTTCCAGTGACCCAGAAAGGCTATTGGCAGGTGGGCCTTCTTGAACTTCCTATACCTTTGTTTACCATGAATAATCAATTTATCAACATGCCGACTGTGAGGAGAACCTGTATCTCACATTGAAAGTTTTGGGCCACTACCACTAAAGGTTGGATTATATTGTTGTGTGGCCTCCCTATCCATTGCCTATGTGTTGTGTTAGATGCTCGAACATAGTATCATAGCTGGGTATTAGGTTGTCAATGAGCCAAGTCTCTCACTGGATGCATTATTGTCTGCTTATTTGTTTGCTTACGAGCAAGCCTCGCCCATGTGAGCGGGGGTGTATAGAGAGCTAGTATCCCCCAGCAAAAAATAGGGCCACCCCAGATTGGTTTGTATCTATTCACCTCATTGTCAATTGGGTTTGGGTTGAATGCCTCTAACACTAATATGCTATAGTTTATTTGTGCTGAATTTGGTTGTTTCTCTCATTTCAGTTTGATATGGACGACGTCCTAATTGGTGGTAAAACAACTGGTGAGGTTATGGACCTCCTGTTTAGACTTCCCTTTTAAGTTATTTCTAGAAGACACTGAATGATGTCTTATTGCCTTTGAATTAAATCGATTGAGCATTTGTGCTTCGTTTGGTCTTAAGAGGTACCTGTTTCCCCTTTGCAGGATTTTGTTCTGGTGGTTGTTCAGCAATTGCCGACTCTGGAACCTCTTTGTTGGCTGGACCAACGGTATGTATTATTCGCAGCCAATATGTATTTACAGAAATCCAATTCATGCATTTGTAAATATTTCTGTCTCTTGAGTGCTCCTAGATAAGCAGCAGAAATGATACACCTAAATGGAATCATTAACAAATATTTGAGGTTGTATTGTTGAACTTAAGTTGGTTGGTTCTGGTATCCATGTCAGTTTTATCTCTTTATGCAGATATATAAATGTTTAGTCCGCAGGGATGGAGCTTCATGCACTGTGCTAGCCTTTGATGTATAAGCATTCAAAAAATATTTTGCATTGTTGAATAGGATCATAGAAGTTTTTTACTTTTTTATCCATGGTTTTACAATTTTATTTTTGCCTGGATGAATTTGGATTCATTTCTCTTTTATGCATCTAATTTGCAGCAGTTGGTGCTAGGTTTTTTTAAGGGTATCTAACATATGTAAATACACCACAGAGACACAAGGTTCCACATGTATGTCTACAAATATTTCAAGCACGTACACAGACATAGTTTAAGTATGTTTTGGGACATAATGAAGCACTCTTGTCATTTATGGAAGTAAATTCTAAAAGCTACAGACGCATAATTACCATTTAAGTTAATTCAGATCAATTTGTCTCAAGCTCGGTGAGATTTGAAGTGAATTCTCCCCTTATTGTTGCCTAATCCTGTGACTTAGGTGGTCATTGTCAAGAATTACCAAAAACTATAAAGATGACTTATAAAGAGATATCATCGTGAAATCCTGTTGGACAGAGGGAATGCGACTTAATGGGTAGGAGATGCATTGGCTTCTGTCCAAACTGCGTGTCCAACTAATTTACAGAGCATAGTACTCTTATTTTGTTGTGAGTTTGTTAAGAAACAAGAGGATATCACTCTTATTATTGTGCGAGTTTTCACAAAACATTCCTAATTTTATTCTTGAATAAGGAACAAAATATTTATGAACAAGTGCCAGAGTAAGGGGGCCATCCCATGTACATGCAGGGTATACTAGAAGCAAGAGTCTGTGCTAAATAAATATGTCCCTGTACTCTATGAGAGAATTGTAAAAGTGTTCCGCAGTGTGATTCAATCCACTGTAATGCCTGCTCCATTCCCTCCAAGGAGAGAAAAATGCAAGAGCCTTGTATACCAATGAGGCTTGAATGACCCTCAAAAGCTGTTTACCTGTAAAAAGCAAGGTTTAGAAGTATAAACGGAAGGGTTCACAATACAGTATCGCCATGTATACCAATACCCAAGGCATAGATGCCATATTATAGTTGGCCTATACCTATGGGCTCTGGCAGATGTTTGCAACTAAGATATGTAGTGCACGAGCTTACTTAGGCTGCCTACAAGACCAAGTTGTTACAATTTCCTGGGGACGTCAGGTGATTGATTACTATCCTGCTTGTTTTTTTTTTGCATGTTTTTACCACCATAATATCATATGCTGGCCTTTAATCTCCTTTGAAAAATGTGGTTTATTTGCAAATGGATTGTGACCATGCAAAAGACATTTTGTATTTGGTGTGATGTTTTTCTTTTGAAATTGTACACATCGGTCTGAATTTTTGTAGGAGACATTTTAAGGGTTGAATATGAGCCTGCATAAATTATTTTAGTAGTGTAAAAGCTCTGGAGTTGTGCTGATAGGTGCATCTTGGCTTTACAGCTAATCTATAATCATGTCTCCTATTTGTGTATGCACGATCTATGATTAACATGTTTCCTTGATATGTTATTTTCAGACAGTGATTGCTCAAATTAATCATGCCATTGGAGCCTCAGGGGTTGTAAGCCAGCAATGCAAGTCAGTGGTCACCCAGTATGGGAAAACCATTTTAGAACTGCTGTTATCCGAGGTAAACCATTGTTTATGTTTTCAATTTGGCTTTTGTTTATTTATTTCCTTTTATTTATTTAGCTATTTTTTTGGGACAATAGTTACTGTTCTGTCTGAAGGGGAATATATTGATGATATTATCTTTTTGCGCACTTCTGCCACATTTTGTATTCTGCACTTCTTGACGAATTTCTGCTTTAAATGGTGGTGTTTCGCAGGCACAACCCAAAAAGATATGCTCCCAAATTGGTTTGTGCTCTTCTGCTGGTACTCGAGATGTTAGGTGAGGTTCAACTTGTTTTCTTGATACATTGTAATAATAATAATAATAAAAATAAATCATCATCAATCCTAATTATAATAATAATAATAATAAGCATCTGCTCATTGGTGAATTGTCATTGTCATCCTCAACATATTATTATCCGGAGAACATCTTCATCATTATGATCAAGTTGTTCCAATAATAAGTTATTAGTCTCAGATTTCATCTTTCTGCTGCTTTCTCTTTGTTTGACGACTTCTAGAACATTTGCTACTATTTTTGCAGCGACTATTTGGAAAAATGTTGTTTATTGTTTTTGTGAATTGGTCAACACTTTTGATGTCTGATCCACAAATAAATTTGTACAGTATGATTATCAAGAGCGTGGTGGGCAAGGACAGTGACAAGTCTTCTGCTGGTCTGCAAGATGAGATGTGTACTGCTTGTCAGATGGCAGTTGTGTGGATGCAAAATCAAATTAGGCAAAATCAGACGGAAGATAAAATATTGGACTATGTCAATCAGGTGGAGTAGCTTCTATATCTTAATGTTTCTTGAAAAAGTTGACTCTGCTGTGGGTTCAACCATTTACTTTGACTGCAGCTATGTGATCGACTGCCTAGTCCAAGTGGAGAATCTGCTGTTGACTGTAGCAGTCTATCTTCGTTGCCCCCTGTTTCCTTTACTCTGGGTGATAAAGTATTTGACCTCCCCCCAGAGAAGGTAATCATAATATGTGCCCCTACGAGCATTAAGCCAATAAGTGTGCTTTATATTCTTTCTGAGTTTTTTTTTTTTTAATGTTATATTGGAGTTCACATTGACAAATAAGCTGTAACTTGCTTGGAAATACTTGGTATGCTGTCGAACACCTTGACAAATAAGCTATATGGTTTACCTTGTTACACCACATTGTTGTAGTGTTCAGTTAGTTTTATTTTGTAAGGTTTGGGTATTTGTGGTGAACACCTTGATATCGTTTCATGCCAGGGCTATTTCATCTCAAGTTTCTGATTTGGTGGCAAATATAGTTTCCTTCCGTTACTTTTAAACGAAGTTGAGCTAGTGTGGAGTGAGTTCTATTTCAAATTTTGGTTTGACATCAGAGGCTACCTCACCCAACTACTAAGTCCTTGTTCAGATTTTTACTATGCTCTCTGACTTGCACCAATTTTGTTTTTTAATCTGTTGGTTACATTTCGTTTTTGTCATCATCTAGATTCCAATTCTCATTATAGATATACCAGTCTTTCGTTTTTTCCTTGGATCATTTTTGTTTTGCCTTTGTTCTTTTGAATGTCCGTCTGAAGCTGCTCCGATTTATTCAATTAAGGTCCCAGTTGCGTCCCACAAAGATTGAGATCTGTACATTCAAAACCTTACCTCTAACAGCTCTAACAGGACAAGCTATATGGCATGTGTAGATTTCTCTTGGTGGAAAAAGAAGAGCATTAGGATTTAAATTGAGGACAATGAAGATGAGGGAGTGCTATATATTTAAGGCTTTCAGCTGTGAAGTGGATATAGCTCTGATTGTTTTAGAAGATTATCAGTGATCCAGTATGATGATATTATTATGAGTAAATAACAAAATAAGAAATAAACATATTAATATATAATATACTTAATGTTGGTGCATAGGAAAGTACCTATTGATGCATATGCTAGGGGTAGAGAAAGACCGGAATTAGCTTTAGCTGAGATGGTAATAAATTATACGATACCTAGTGGTATAACTGAAAATATGGTCTTAGACAAAACACAATGGCAGAACAAAATTCATATGACCAATCCCAATTAGTTGAGACTAAGATTTTGTTGAGTTGAGTAAGCCCCAACTTTTATTCTTTTCACTTTTATAACAATGGCACCATCATACTTCTTTTCCCCCCTCCTCCTCGCCCCATCATTGTGATGACGTGGACAATGCTTCCCCCTCTTCTCTTGCCTTGGCTCCACTCTACATTCTTTCCTGAAAATCACCATAGTCATTCTCTTATATTTTTTTTCCCATAGCAATGGGCTGAGGTCTAGTGAGGTTTTGCCTTTTTGTGTATTATTGCTAGGAAGAAGGAAGTATTGACATAAGTAATGATCTTTCTTATTGTTTGTTCTCTTCTCTCCCAAAGCCACCAATCAACTGACAGTCATCTGTTCACCTTTTTCTGGCCCCTATATCAACTTAGCTAGTAGCTAACATAAATGAATATTCTCTCTGGACGGTTTAATCCAAACCCATGCACCTATACTTTGTTCTGACACCCAGACCTTTTTCAAGCTATTCATGATTATGAATCAATCAATCTGCACACAGCCATCTAGTAAGTCTTGAGTAGAGACGAGAAAAGTTCGGCCAAACATCTGTTAATAACCAAACCCAAATTGTATTTGGAAAAATCTATGTCAATTTTCAGAATATATTGGGAATCCCAAGTGAAAGCTTGAAACAAAATATATTCAACAAATCAAGTTTGAACTAGCATTTGCTTAAATTAAGCCCATAGGATGGTGTATTATGACTGCCTGGTTGACACCAGTGAATGATATTGTCAATGAACTCTTATATTCTGGGCCAAAGAGTCGAAACATTCACCAAGGTATACATTTAAAAAAAGAAAAGAAACACTCAATAGTACAATGATTCATTTTTCTTCTTTTATTTGGGGAGCAAAGATGGTTGGGGTTGACGTTGCAACGTGGTTGACGAGTTTATGATTTTGGGGAGAGCTCATATTCCGGTTGTTTTGGGATTGCTGATCAGGGTCAGACCGTGGAATCATTGATTAGGGAGAAGTGTTAGGAACAGGAAGAAAGCAAGATTCCCAAAACAGTCCTTATTATGAGTGTGAAGTATAAAATGGGAATTTTGCCCTTTGCAATTTGCAATTTGCTTCCATTCCCATGAAGCGGGTATAGGATACAAAACATATGCTGTGATTTGACGATAGTGACTATCTAAGGTCATTGTTTGGAAAGACCGCTCATTTGAACGCCTAGTGTTTTCTACGATAACAGCTATATGGTGACTGATAATCTTCCAGATATGGTTGGCAGGCTGTTTGCCTGAGAAAAATCCACTTTTGGCTAAATTATGAGGCCAGGTGTGTGTTATTCTCAGATTTTAGAGAAAAAGTTAGAGATTAGTATTGTCGGAAATCAGTCATTTGGAAGGCAAGCTGTGATTTCACTATTTATACTCTTTGAAGTGCTTATCAGATAATAGGAAACGTAGGATACTTGCATTGTTGTACTACTAAGTATCAGCCAGATAGAGTACTTCTTGTTACTATTATTGTGCAATTTTTTTGGTGTGAACACATTCTTTTTGGTGCTATAATTGTTCGTGGTGTTGTTATACATAAGCCATGGTGAACAAACTCATGATGAATTTACTGGGGCATAGTTTTGCATGATGAGTACTCTCTAATCAATTCGACTCATTACCCTTTTTTGTATGGTGGTGTCTACTGATCAGTACATCCTTCAAGTTGGTGAGGGTGCTGCAGCACAATGCATCAGTGGATTTACGGCTTTGGATGTGGCTCCCCCTCGCGGACCCCTCTGGTATTTTCCTCTTATTACTGCTTTTACTATCCATAGCTATATTAATGTAATGGACACTGTTGCTAGAGCAAATCAAACTGTGCTCTCTATTTAGAGCATCATTTTTAAAATCCAGAGCATATTTAATGAAAAGTTAAAATAGAAAGTGAATGTTTTTAGCAACTCCATTAGGGCTCTGTAAGTGGTCTATATAGCCAAAGCATTTAATGAAAAAATGTGTGTCATTTTCATTCATTAATTATACAGTAGGGATGTGACACTCTAAATGTAGAGCAGCAAATTTGACTCTATTTTAATTAGTCTAAATAGAGAGCCTATTGGCTCTTTAAAATAAAGAATTGAGTGAAAATATAGTGTTTATTGGAGATGCTCTTTGTAACTACTATAGGTTGCTGCAAGAGATGTTTCATGAACAAATGTCTTAAAATGCTGGTTAAGACCCCCCCCCCCCCCCTTTTCTCCTTTTGCCACTTTTATGTTTTCGTTTTTCTTTATGAGAATTTGTGCTTCTATAATATAAAATAGGCAGAATTCAATAAATCTATGCGACGGTCTCAAATAGACTTATTCAACGACCATCAACATCCCTCTTAAAATCATTCACATTACACGGTGCCTTCAGGCACGGGTTACCCCTAGTTATCTTATATGACGGGTCAATATTATCACGGGTCAATATCATCTGTCCAAATTCTAAACATCTGTATTTTGTCATGGAACTGTATTACTCTTGGGATCTGCGTTCGATTCTCTGGCTGCAAAGACAGGGAATTAGTCGCTCTGATAGATTTGGTAGTGCTTGGATTGAAGATTTTTTTACTGAGCTTTTGCTTGTACGAGCTAGTATTTCAATTAATTCTCGCTATTCTTGGTCATGTGATGCAGGATTTTGGGAGATGTATTCATGGGACACTACCACACAGTGTTTGATTATGAGAATATGAGAGTTGGATTTGCTGAAGCAGCTTGAGTAAATCCTTGGTTCTTCTTCATATTCACATCCTTAGTAATATACTGTTGTGAAACCTTATAATATTATGGTGGTTGTAAACATTATGAAATGATCAACTCTGGGTGTATCTTTGAATCTGTAAATCATCTGTGTGATACAAAGATCTTCTAATTAACATGTATGGAAAAAAGAATAGTCTTCCTGTAATAACTCTCATTTGCCGTGTTTCATGATTTATTTGGAAGCTTTAGAAATTTCTATCACAATTTGCAAATTCTAGTGGTTGATCGTTGACGGAATTGCTAACGGTGATGTCTATTCTGAGGGCTATCCTAAGTGGGCATTAACCAGCTGCCTCAGTGTCTTATATGGTCGGGTCATAGATCATGCTGGGTGGGTGGCCCATTGGCAAGTTGAACTACATTTCTATAATGGCATATTAATACCCATCCCCAACCTCCATATTGCCTTTAGCAATCGACCAGGTTTACCTTAAAGCTTTAAACCGGTGAAAAACCGAGGTAAATGACTGAATACAACCACTATGAGATGAAGAAACACGTGATAAGGGCGGGCTGCCGTTTGCCAACTCGAGTATGACTAACAAAAACCGTTTCTCAACTACATATTTGAATTTTTTGGTCTTTTCAAACAGGATTTGTCCATTAGGATTGGGGATCACATTGGTGGGAAGACATGTCGATATGTTTTCAACCTGTCTAATTTGATCGTTTAGCCCTTTTTCTTGAAGTTAGGAATGTAAATAAAAACTAGGGTTAATTGTACTAGAGGTTCCTAAAGCATAGAGTTTGCCTCATTTTGATCTTCAATGTTTTAATTGTATCAGTTTGGTCCATAAAGTATTGAATATGTTTCTATATAGTTTTTCATGCAAACAACATCTAGATTGCTAGCATTTTTTTTATCATAATCTTGTCGCATGATAATTAAATATAGACAAAAAAAAAATTGAATAACTCTTGATCAAATTTATATTCAAATTTTGGTTAAATACATACCTAAATTACACAGTTTTGATCATGAAATATTCAAATTTTTGTCAAAAATTACCCATATTACTCATTTTTTTGTTAAGAGCTATTCAAATTTTGTTTAAGAGCTATCAAAATTATTTTTTTGTCCATATTTAACTATTACGTGACAAGTTTATGATAAACAATTGCTAGCAATCGGAACATTGGCTGCTTGAAGGACAATATAGAAACATATTCAATATTTTAGGGACTAAAATGTTGCAATTGAATCATTGAAGTTCAAAATGAGACAAACTCCATATTTTAGGAACGTCTAATACAATTAATCCTAAAAACTATCACATATGCAAACTTTTGGATAGGTGTAATCACAAATAATCATGCACATTGAGGTAGTCAGAACATTTCTTACTACATCACCTTCAAGAAAATGAGCTAAACTCACCAATGCCCGCAACAATAAGGAGTGGTTGAAATTTTTGACAGGACGATTGAATTCCAAATTTAGATGATATGGGCCCAACACGAGCATTAAGAAACCAAAAAAAAAAAAAAATTACAAGAAAGGTAAGAAAAAAGAAATACAATTTGATACAATATTTATAATAAATTCACATTAAATTAAAAATAGATGCAGAAAATTTTGATTGGGAAGACATTTCAAGCATATGGTGGGTTCAAGAGGGACAATTTCAACCACGACACAAAGTTCCTATCACCTCTATTGTAGGCAAATATTTAAAATCGTTTATGCCTTAACTATATTGAACAAAGAAATAGATCACACACTTCCCTAAAATATACATACATATATATATATATATATTTATATATTATTTTTCGTGTCTGAAGGCACAAAGTAATAAAAAAAATGATCAATATATATTATTAGATAATAAAATAGTGATTGACTTTTGAAACTCTTTTGACTTCTATAATGCCTAATGTGGAGACCCTTTGTGTGTTTTAAAAGGCTTTGTATTGGAATTAATTAATTTATTGGGATTTAGATATATTAGGAAGGATAAAATAATTTTGGTCATGATGACCTTAGATTTACGATTTATTGGTAGAAGTTGTTTGTTTAGAATTCTAATTTGGATAAAGTTTTTAAAGTAAATGTCATGTTTTTATTTTTTCATATACCAAGAAAAGATTTTAATGATCAAAAAATAATATTTTATAATAGAAATAATATTTTATAAAAATAGACATTGTGTGAAAGAGGAAGTCTCGAGAGGAATTGTCATAAGAAATTCATTTTCTTTTTCGCCGGGGGTGGGGGTTTGGCCCCATAGGTCTTGCTTTGGTTCCATCACTGCTAGCACATTTAGGACTAGTCGAAGGAGTTCGACTCTGAGTTTAAAAAATTTATTTTTTATTCGAATTTAAAAAATTGTTTAACTTCGGCTCGTTTCTTAAATTAATTGGGCCTAAACAAGCCACAAAAAAGTCAAATTTGAGGCGAATTCGAGTATTTGCATATAAACAAGTTGAGCCTGTCGAATTTGAATCGAACATGTAATACTTATTTTTTAAACGAATTTAAAAATTTATTTAAATTTAAATTATTTAAAAAACGAATCGAGATCGAATGAATCGAACTCAAAATAAACTCGAGTAATTTGATTAACATTCCAAAATGTTGTTTGACGTCAAGGACGTTTCTAGTAGTATCTAATAGGTTGTCTATGGCGATGGCATAGGGTAGGTTACTACAAGTACATCTCTGAATATCTTTTTGTACCATGAAAATGACTTGCACCAGAACAAATGCACAAGTCCAACTTGAATTCTTCAATTGAAGATGTCACTTTCAAGCTATATCCAGTGACCTCTTTTTACTGAAAACAACAGCTAGCTTTCGTTGAAGTTTGTGGAGAGAGAGAGAGAGAGTGGATAACATTCTTAACAGGGACAGGAAGAGGAAGAGTGAAGAAAGAAGAGCATCTTTGATGAATATCAAAAGTTCCAGCGATGGAGTCCCACGCTAAGCTTCTCATGCTCGGAGCGGCAGAGAACAGAAAGAAAACTGGCCGGAGCATCGCCGGAAGGCCATTATTTTCCGATAATCTTTGATAAAGTGTAATAACCAACCCTAAATAATGGGCCATGCCCAACGAAAACAAATCTGTTTTCAAGATACAACAAAATCCAACTTGATTTGTATCTTACACTAGCAAAAATAGTACCTTTCGAATGTATTTTTAATATAGTTGCTTATGTTGGAGACTCTAAAAAATGGATTAGACTATAGAGTTGACAAATTATTTGTTTAGGCATTAACGGGTGTTATGTAACAACAACAAAATCAAAGAGAATGGTAAGAAAAATGGATTCTGTATTTTTTTCATACAATATACTCCCTCAGTTCCTAATATCTGTCGTTTTACATAAATTTTTTTATTTCATAATATCTGTTGTTTTATGAAATCAAAACATAATTAATATTTTTTCTTCTAAATTTACCCTTAATTTTTCAATGCATTAAATTAAGTGGAGGGTAAGTGTCTTTCATATTCTTTTATTTCCCAATACGTATTGAAAATGGTATTTTAGTCTTGTGTAATTATTTTTTACTCATATTAAAACTATTTAATAACTTCCTTAATTCTTGTGTAAAAATCTTAAAATGACAGATATTTAAGAACGAATGAAGTATATGAATACACATTGAATCAAATAATAAATACTTCAAATTTTGATTTTGAAGATGTTGGTTTTGCACAACGGATAATTAACACAAATAATACTTGTTGAAAGATAAGAATTCAAAGATAGGAAAACAATTAAAAACATGACACAAAGATATACCGTGGTTCCATATAGCGTATCACCTTGGTACACAGTACCTACATCCACGAACCAAAAATTTACATATAACTGATTACATAATACTCAATCCTATTTATAAGGATAAAATACTGTAACCCAAACTTATTTAGATAGAACTTGATCTTTGTGTTTTCTATCACATGATACCACTTAATGGTTTTGCACAATGGATAATTAACACAAACAATCTTTGTTGAAAGATAAAAATTCAAAGATAAGAAAATAATTAAAAACATGACACAAAGATATAACGTAGTACGATACAACGTACCACCTTGGTACACAATACTTATATACACGAACCAAATATCTACATCGATGTATTATTCATTGAAAAACTGATAATCTGATAATTGACTACATAATGCTCAACTCTATTTATAAGGATAAAATACTGTAATCCAAATATATTTAGATACAACTTGATTTTTGTATTTTCTATCACATGTCTAATATACCTATTAATGATATATTAAAACTCTTCCAATATAATCCTGGTCAATATAGGATTCTTATATTGATAACCCAACAAACTCTCTTTTATAACAATTAAAGAGTTTGAGTCAAATTCTAACAAAAAAATCTGCTGAAATCGAGAAGGAAAGTTTGTATTCCTCTAAACCTTTAAAAGATTATGTCAGCACTTAATCATTCATACTACAACTCAACCAACTACACTTGAGAGGAGATTAATATAAGTGTTAACCCTGCAGTCATGGCACTGGGGAACTACCACCAGGACTTAGCATGGGATCATCACTTTGTAAGAGGCAATTAGTTTTCAGGGCAGTGAACACCATTAGAAACAGTGACACCACCACGGAAAGCGTCGAGAGGACGAGCATAAGCACGTGAGCTACGCCGCTCTTCACCTCCTGTGCATACTCCGTTGACGCTATTGCAAGAACTGTTAAGGGGAATGAATAAGCCCACCATGCTACGTTGAACTTCCTCATGGATTTCTTGAATAAAGCAGGCCTAAACACCTGTTTACACAAATTAAGAAAAGGTTAGTATCATGCCTTATTGAAGAGATAATATACTAGTAATTCCTTGGATGAAAAAAGGAACCCAAAATTACCCTCCAAAATTTCCAACCTACACAACAAAAACAAAACATCTCTAAGGTATATAATAATTTTTCCGTTTCCATTCTCAGAGAGGAGATCACGAGACAATAGTGTATACATGTCAGTTTACGCGCATCTCGATTAATCATCTTCTCGGTCTGATCATAGACAACCATTCAATTACTTTTCATAATGAACAAAGACTGAATTTACTGTTTCTCATGGTCTGGTCTTAAGAGATAATCAACGTTTGAATTTAAAATACTTGAATTTGTAGCTTGTACCTATTATTATATGAGTGAGGTTTAAAGATTCTAAGATTCAAGATTAGGTTTCAATACACTGTAACAATGATTGGGGTTCTCCAAGATAATTCTCTTCAACATTTTTTAATGGCAACTCATTCGTCATAAATTCAAAAGAAATATGTGAGCTCGACCAATACGCTGAGAGTGATACCCCATTAAAAAAATTGAAAGAAAAAATATTAAAATGATTTGGATCCTGAAATAGTTTGCCATCTTGCATATCATTCCTAAACGCAAGTTATTTGGACTCCCCGACGGTTCTAGCTAGTATATTTCCATAGCTACATGTCGAAATATCTTATTACACCATTAAAGTGACTTGGACCAGACCAAAAGCACAAATCCAACTTGAACACTTGTAAAGTCAAAGATGGTCCTTTCAAGCTAGCTTAGGTTGAACTAAACAGGGAGAGAGAGAGAGAGATCATTCCTAAACGCAAGTTATTTGGACTCCCCGACGGTTCTAGCTAGTAGTGTATTTCCATAGCTACATGTCTAAATATCTTATTACACCATGAAAGTGACTTGGACCAGACCAAAAGCACAAGTCCAACTTGAACACTTGTAAAGTCAAGATGGTCCTTTCAAGCTAGCTTACGTTGAACTAAACAGGGAGAGAGAGAGAGAGAGAGAGAGAGAGAGAGAGAGAGAGAGAGAGAGAGACTTCTTTGATGGGTAAATCCTTACCAGGGATAGGAAGAGAAACAGCGAAAGAAAGAAGAGCATCTTCGATGAATTATCAAAAGTTCCAGAGATGGAGTCCCATGCTAAGCTCGCCATGCTCGGAGCAGCAAAGAACAAAAAGAAAACTGGCCGGAGCATTGCCGGAAGGCCATTATTTTCCGATAATCTCTGATAAAGAGTGACAAACAGTACTAAATAATGCGCCATACCCAATGAAAACAAACAAATTGCACTCTCTCTCCACCCCATTCTAGCTGCTGCCCAGGCCCCAACCAGGTTTCCGATAACCGATAGTTGACTTGTTGGGTTAGCGACTGTGGACAAAAACCTCTTCCCTTTGGTGAACCATTGGCCATAGATTTTAACATCAAGAACAATTATGGGGGCAACGAATAGACACCAAAGAACCAAATAATACATGGTTTTGGGAGTGAAGAATGGTGCAGCTTGAAGCAAGAGAAGCCATGAAATCCATGGAGCAAATAAGTAGTTCACACCCACATGGTGGAAGAACTCATTTTTCACCATGTCAAAGTATAACAAACACCTTAAAATATAGAGAAGGGAGAGAGAGACCAATGTGAATAAGGCTAGTGACCAGAGAAGAACAAAAGCAGAAGAGGGTAGCATTCGAAGGATTCGCCGGAATGCATGGGCATCATCCGATGGCTCGCCGAGGGTCTTCCATAGTAAGGCCTGGCTGCAGAGAGAGAGGCTTATTCTGAAGTAACCAGCATGCAATCTTGTTAAGATTGGCAAAGTTAGACCCTTGATTATGATCGAAATGCTATCTGTTTGTGAAGGGATGATTGACATGGATGAATTTGCATCGATCACAAGCTCTATATGTGGTTGAGGACCTTGAGTTTCTTTATCAAACAACTGCATGTTGATATTTTTGGGCACATAGAAGTGTTAAGATGAGAGGGAATGTGTTGCTTATCAGCTTACTGCTGCATTCTTATATAGATGTTTTGTGAATATATGGACATAGAAAACTTGAAAGCATAATATAATATAAAATTCGAGAATAAAATGATATCATCCTATCAAATAATATTTTGTTTTCTTTCATTTTTTAAGTGCAATATTATTGAAATTTAAAAAAACAACATAATAATGTAGTTTTATTAGAATTATTAGATCAACATTAAACTCTAATGTTTAATAGAGCCTACTGTCAATCGAAAGACCATAATGAATTAAGTCAACAAATTATGTTCCAATAGCATTGTTTTTTTTTTTTTAATTACATTATTTGAAATTGATTTCTACCCATAATTTAAAAACAAAATGGACAAAATTTTCTCCAAATACACTAACTCAAAAAAATATCAACATATGTACATTATCGTATATGAAAAATATTTAAAATTAAAATTATATTCAACCATAAATTAATAAAAATTAAATAATTTAATTTGTAATAAAAAAATTGACCAAGTGATACAAATAGACGAGAAGAATATACCCAAATAAAATTCAAACTCCTAAATTCCTTGTTATGTAGATATTATGATAAGCAAGGCAATGTTGAAGACCAGTTTCTGTGAGAGGTAGACGTGGGAGTAGTTCTGTCAATCGTGTTAAGTGAGTCGGGTTCTTGTCGAGTTTTAATAGGTTTATGTCAAAAAATATTTACTCATAACCAATTCGTTTATTAATCATGTTATATCGAATTCACTCGTTTATAGAATAAGTGACTTAAGAAAGATTTAAGTATTCTAATTTTGTATCGTGTTGATATTGTGTTAGTGAATTGTGTTATATTTTGACATCGGGAGAAGAGGCGGCTGAGTCGGCAAGCCCTTTTGGACTTTGAAGGCTAGTTTTATTGTTTGCAGCTCTTTACAACTAAAGATTGGACTCTGTTTTCTTGCGCTTGTGAGATCTGTCAGACTCCACTTCAGTTTGTTTCACATTTGCAGCTTCATACATGCCATGAAACATTGGAAGCAATCCATGCCAACAGCCCAACTTTAGTAAATATAAGTCTTTTTGTCTATTGTAGGAGACGTAAATCCTCACCTCTTAAATTTGAGTGTTTTTATTGTATAAATTTCATGTTTAACGGATGACAGTGAATTCTAAATTTCACGTTTAACATGCAACTAAAATAATACCATCAAGAAAAAAAAAGACATAATTCTTGTGGATTAATTGTGGACGCATAAGAAAGATAATGTATGGTAGCAAAAAGTTTGTTACCAAGTTTATTTTTGGATTAATAGTATTTTTGGCCCCTAAAATATATATATTTTTTATCAGTTTAGTTCTTAATATATTAATTTTGTTAATTTGATCCATAAAATATTCAATTCGGGTCATTTAGTTTCCACATAATCGGAATGTTAAGTTTTTTTACGGAAGTGACCACGTGTCATTTTTTTAGACAGTATCATGTGCTCAACACATGATCATTATGTTAAAAACGTAACGGTCCACGTATGTGAGTATTAAAATGACACAAATTGAATACTTTAGAGATTAAATTGACAAAATTGATATATTGAAGATTAAACTGAGAAAAAATATATATTTTAGAGATCAAAATTACTATCAATCCTTATTTTTTATTTTAGTTGTAATCATTTATCCTCAAAATAATAAATAAAGTGAAAGAATAAGCAATTACACTTTATGCAAGTTGCCGCCTACGTTGTATGTTTCTCGGCTACCAAGTGGATCGGATTTCAAAAGAGTGATGTGGCATTGATGGTTATCTGTGAGAATCCACTTGCCATCTCTCTCTCTCTCTCTGCGTTGGTGTGTGGAAGGTCCATGAGAGTTTGGTCTGATTGAACACAATTCTTTTTTGTTGGTACGTAGCTCGTTTTATTTGTGGAAAAAACAGTACGGAGAGGAGTGAGAATCTATTCACCCTCGTGGGATAGGGATAGCATACACATGCACGTTCTAAGGCTCTAAACAAATACAGCTATATAGACTCTTTTGGAAAAGTGAAAAACATGATATTGCTAGGTTGTTCCCTTGCATAAACGAGGGGCTGAGAACTAAATTGAATTGTTTGTGGCCGTTGTGCTATTTATTTATAGTTCTGTTATTCGTTCAACTCCTAGAGCTTCCATGTTTATGTGACACAAGAAGGCTAGGGGAGAAGAAATGGTTAAAACTGTTTTATCACAGTGATGAAGGTGTGCACATAATGGCTATGTGAAAATAAAAAGGGAATAAATTCTTTACAAGTAGTTTGTAAACAATTGTTTACAAATAGTCGATCAAAATTTGAAAGTTGTACAAATTTATTGGGAATCCTCAATATTGATTTGTGTGTTTGTGTAGCTATCAAATTTTGATTAGCTACCCGGAAACAATTACCTGTAAAAATTTATTCTTAAACAAAAATACAAAAAAAAAAAATACAAAAATAATGGGCCTGTCCTATGACATGGATGAACAATGTTACATAGACTTAAAAAAAAATCTTGATAATCATAACTATTGATTTTATTGTGAGTATCAGTATTTATTATAACTTACTACCTATTCAATGATTGTGATTATCAAGTATACATTTTAAATCCATATTTTAAGTTCAAATAACATTTTTTGACATGGATTGATGGTATGCATTGTTGCAACTGTGGCCTAACCTTGCCAACATTCAACTTTTTTTTTTGGAGAGGGAGAGGAGGACTTGAATCTTTGGTCTTAAGAAGATAAATCCTTCACAAAACAAGGAATACCATTTGATATCGCCAACATTCAACTTCAAACTTTCCTTCACCCCAACTATGTCCAAATTTAATTTTTAAACTTGGGTTGTACCCGAATTTCATTGGAGGGTTATGCAATTCAAGTTGAAGTTGAATTTGTTAAATTAGATTGAATCTCAAAAACTTAAGACCCAAACACAAAATTGCATTAATTTAAATTGGATTGATTTTTTTTTTTGGTTGCTCAAACCCAACCCTAATTTTGCAAATCTCTACCAGGATTAATTAACATGCAGTTAATCCTTAGGGGTAGTTTAATAGTGAAGTTTATTTTTTTTACAATCAAAAGGTCTCAAATTTAGTACTTTTCACACTCTCTAAGAATCAATCATATTTGTTCATTATGAGACATGTCTTTAAAATAACTTAACTGACGATGATTAATTCAAAATTCGAGAGAATATTCGATATAAACTTAGAATATCGTGTAAATAAAAAAAATCAATATACGCTTACCGTCAAGTTTGTACAAAGAGAAAGTAATCTTTCATCAAACTCGATGAAATGTTTTGTCATCATGACCATATAATGCCTTCCATGAAATATTATAATCCCTTTTTTTTATTGAATTTTGTCTCTTGCTAAGATAATTGTGGGCTTGAAGATTGTTGTTTGACGTGTTTCCTTTTTTATTTAGTTTGCAAATTCATACCCTTTTCTGTACTTTTCCCACTTGCTGAATGATTTTATTATAAACAAAGAGATAAAGCCTAGTTACAAGTTGAACGCAAAGATGTGTAGCCACTTCTGCTTGTTTTTATCTATACTCTCTCTGAGAATTGGGAAGTGGGTAGGTCACTTTCTATGATGTTAGACTATGGCATACCTTGACGATGGCTCAAGAATTTCTACCAAATGTGCTGGATTGCACGAGTTTTGTGAAAACGACTCTATGCATGCTTGTGAGAAACTTTGGAGCTATATAATATGTTTCAAAGTGGGTCCATGAATGATGTATATGAATATCTTGATTTTTTGTTTTGTTTTATATTGAAAATCATTTTTTTGTAATTTAAAACCACCCAGTGTGGGGGGGGGGGTGGTTTAGCAGGACTCCTACCTATATATAAAACTAAATGAAAAAATGGTACAAAAGAGAAGGACATAGAACCAAGCCTCCATAAGTACAAAGTGAGAGAAGGAAAATCAAAGCAAAAGCAAGGTGGTGACTCACCACCAAAAACATGAAAGCAAAGTAGGGACTCCCCACATAAGAGAATAACTGAAAACATAGATGAAAATAAAAAAATCATCGGCGAACGTGAGGAGTTTGTCGAGCGTCCAAGGCGAGGATGCCAACAATTCTAGAAGAAAGGGATGACGAGTCAGGAAATCGCTGATTGAGCTGTTGAGAGCAAGCCCAATTAGCCAAGAAATCGACAGCCTGATTCGCCTCCCGTAGGACGTGGCAGACGCGAGCCGAAAGAGAAGTACACAAAAGCCAGATCCAAGCAATAAGGTAAGCATAAACTAAGTACCCAGTACTTTGAGAATAAACCTAAGAAACCACTGTAGTTGAATCTGACTCCATTAACAACTCTGAAGCTCCCAAATCTGTGGCCAACTCTAACCCAGTACAAATAGCCTGCATCTCCACATACAGAATAGGCTGATGCCCCAGAAACAAGTCAAAAGCCCTGAGAACCTGACCCTGGTGGTCTCGAATAATACCCTCTGCCGCAGACAACCCTAGATTGTCTTTAGAACAACCGTCAACACTGATCTTCAGGCAACTTGGTACAAGGCGAGTCCAAGTAACCAAGCGAAAAGGCTGAGGTCGAGGAACCAAGATCCTAAGAGAACCCACAAACTCAACCGACTCATCCCAAAGCAACTGACTCGGAGCAAACCTAAAAGCAAGCCCAACCAACTACATATCGGTCATAACCCTTTGAATCACAATAGACACTTAAATGGCACGGTCATCGAACCTATAAGCATGACGCGCCTTCCATAGATGCCACAAAATGAAGCACGATAGTAGTACCCGCACGTACCTTACAAAAGGAGCACAACGCCGCCAATGAAGCATTAAAGCATAAGGAGACTGAAACAACCGAGATCTGATCCCAAATATCTGATAAAAATGACCCTACACCTGAATTGCAAGTGGACAATCCAAAAAAAGATGCCTAAGAGTCTCAACAACCC